CCTCCTTCACCCCCCAACACACACAACAGACCCAGGCGTCTGGGCACCCCCCAGCAAGGACCCAGGCATCTGGAGCCGACCCTAAACACCCGTAAAGCGACCCAAAATCCCTCACTCCAGCCCCAAAATTACATTCCTCCCTGGTAGGAAAGACAGGACCGGGCGTCCGGGCTGGGGTCCCCCCCATGCACGCACACCCACAGCTCTGCCCCTGTGTCCCCCACACACGCGTGTCCCTGTCACAGCCCCTGCGGCACTGCGCACACATCCCCCCCACCCCAGCTCGGTGCACACACGCGTGTGCGCTGCTGGTGCGCTGCTGGTGCCCTGCAGGCACGAGGGGGGGGTGCCCGTTGCATGCCCACACCTCGGCCAGGGCAAAAGCATCCGCTGGGAGCCCAGCCCATGGCACGGCACAGTACGGTGCACGGCAGAGCTCGGTGCACAGCATGGCTCAGGGCTTAGCGTACGGCACAGCTTGGTGCACAGCATGGCTCAGTGCTCGGTGCACGGCAGAGCTCGGTGCAGCACAGAGCCCGGTGCACGGCACGGCTCGGGGCTTGGTCCGGCGCCCAGCTTGGTGCACGGCACGGCTCCGTGCACGGCTCACAGTGCACAGTCTGGCATGGCGCATGGCACACGGCTTGGCACGCGGCACACGGCACGTGGCGCGTGCTTTGGCACACGGCGCGGCTTTGTGCGAGGCATGCGGGGGCTGGAACCCCCGGCCAGGGCCACCCCAGGTGGGCACAGGAAGGGGGCCGGGGAGGGCCATGGGTTGAAAGGGGGCCCCGGGCAGCTGCGCGGAACGATCGGCACTGCTCCGGCCCCAGGGCTGCCGCAGACGCAGCCCAGCCCTGGTGCAGGATCCCTCCAGCACCCGCTGGAGCTGTGGGTGCCCCTGGGGCATCGCGGGGGGACGGTGGCTGCAGGGCCCCTCCAGAGCTGGGCGGGCACAGCCAGGAGCCTCCGCCCGCAGCCCTGGCGTGTGCGGCGGCCCCCACTGCCCCCCGGCCATGCTGCCGGCTCCGGCTCAGCCCCCCACGCTCCCCGCTGGCGGCACTCACCAGGCGCGTGGACGAAGTAGGCCAGGTAGAGGTCGAGCTCCTTGATGGTGACGCCGATGTGGTGGGGCTGGACGCAGAGGCCGGGGCTGGCACACTGGGGCGCCTTGGCCAGGCGCTCGCCATCGGTGCTCTCCAGCGGGACGCCCTTGAAGAGGATGACCATCACCAGGTCCAGGCGCCAGACCTTGTCGGCCTGGCGCAGGCAGTCGATGCGGCGGATCTTGCCCTTCTGGTCAGGGTTGGAGAGAACGCAGCAGGGCGCCTTCTTGCCGGTGACGGAGAGCACGAAGTCCTCGCGGCACTCGGGCCGGATGTCCTTGCGCAGCTTGGCCAGGAGGCGCGAGGCCCACTTCTGCTTGACCTCAGGCTTCTCGCCCAGCAGCTCGTCCTTGACGGCACGTTCCTCCTCCTTCGACATCCGCTTCTCGTGCTTCTTGAAGTATTTGCGCTTGCGGGCCTGCAGGTTGAACCAGGTGTAGGAGAAGGCCCGGACGTGGGGCAGCAGCGCCTCGATGAAGGGGTGGAACTCATCCTGTGGGGCAGGGCGGCATCAGTGGGGCAGCTGCCACAGGGTGGCCACGGCCCCGGCAGCTCCCGGGAGACCCCCATCCTGCACGGGGAGCTCCCAGGGGGACAGCCCCATCCCGCACAGCGGGAGCATCCCTGGGCACGGCCGCATCCTGCACAGGGAGCTCCCGGGCAGATGCCCGTGCTGTGCAGGAGGAGCATCCCCAGACACGGCCGCATCCTGCACAGGGGGCTCCCGGGGGCACCCCCGTCCTGCACAGGGAGAGCATCCCCAGGCTCAGCTCCGTCCCAGCCCCTGGGGACGCTCAGCTCAGCCCTGGGCATCGACGCAGACCAGGGACGCAGGATCTGGCCCCGGGAACGGCCCTGCGGGGCTGGGGCACCGGGGCAGCTCCGGCCCGGGGGGACCTGCCGGGGTCCTGGTGCCCAGCTGGCTCCCGGAAGAAGTCGGCTCCCGGCCCCACACGGCTCCGGTGCCCGTGCAGCCCCGTAGTGCCCCCGTGTCCCCAGCCCGGGGACGGCTCAGCCCCGTGTCCCCAGCGCCGCTCAGCTCCGGGTCCCTGTTCAGACCCTGTCCCAGCCCTGTCCCCGGTGTCGCCACAGCCCCGTCCCCGTCCCCCGTACCGGCACAGCCCCAGCCCCGTCCGTCCCCGTCTGGCTCCCGGTGATGCTCCCGCTGCCGTCGGGGCTC